TGTGTTGTCAGCGATTCCTGAAATTTAGGATTTAAAGCTGGAACAAAGACAATGTTTGGTGAATTTTATCAAGGGAAAAGACATTATTGCCCTTCTTCCTACAGGATTTGGGAAAAGCTTAACATACCAGTTAGCTCCATTAGCGGCACATTACAAATGTCACAACCAAATAGCAATGTTTGGTTAAATTTAAAAAAGTACCCACCTACTGTTGAGTGAACGAACTCTAATGCTGCGAGGTCAGACGGTTTCCACGAAGTCAAAGTGGCTGATGAATCAGGCTAGACTAAAGTGGTTTTAGATAAACAGTGATGTTCAGTTTGAATCATCTGCCTCCCATCATGTAGTGTTAGTGTTTGGGCATACATTTTACCCCAGATGCCCTTTTTGAACCCATTTATCCTCGCTTGGAATCAGCATTTTTTTTTTTTTCTATCCCACTAACACACACAACAAAAAAATACAACATTCTTCATTCATTAAATTCCTCACTCATGTATTCCAACAATAGCCTGTTCAAAGCCTGCTTGTCTTCATGACCCCGGGATCAGAAGTGACTCCACACACGTACACACACAGTACACACATACACACATACAACACGCACACACACTCACACAGTAGTTTATTTTCATGTGGGGTCACTGTGTTCGCCCTAAAACGTTCTTTCCATAAGTCTTTCGAGGTTTGCGGCCACTGGTGCTCGTGGTGGTGAAGGGGGGGAGAGGATGGATATAATTAAGACTCCTGCTTTTTTTTCTTGTGTCTTTTTTAAGCAAAGAGGCTGTTTGGGTGAGTGTGCTGGGTGGTCTATGGCTGTACATGCCTGCACTAGCTTTATTACATACAGACACACTATGGTTAGCAGTGTACACATACCCGGACCGAAGAGCAGAGATGGGGAGATGACGTTTGATACGACATAAAAAGAAATACATATCAAAGAGTCTAGCCATATTTCTTACGGTACCAGTAGGCTGCGTTTGAATGTGGTGCCGAAGATTATAAAAAAAATAAACAACAAACAATTGATCAAAGGCAATGGGAGACAATAGCTGGCATTCACTGGGGGTGCTATAAAATGGATAGCAGCGATTCAGTGAGCTTTGAGCACACAGCCAAGTCAGTGACTGTTTTAGAACACACCATTAAACAGTACATGGCGATTTGACGAGATAAAAATACCATTATAATAGCTGACATGTGTGAACATATTCTCACATTGTTCTTTTGTATTGGGTTCTATGAAATTATAGTCTGCGTGCAAGGTTAAGACTGCTGCGCACATTTAGAGTGAGCAAACTTTATAGAGAAAATGAGAGCAAAACACAACAAGGATGAAGTAGGATTTGCCATATAAAGGTTTTGCAATTGTTGACTGGAAAAATTTCATGTGGTAATTGGATATCTCCAGCACAAGATGATATTTTGTTTTGGTCAATTTGCTCCCAAAAAATTGCACAAAAATTCTAGTAACACTTTAGTATAAAGAGGTAACCGCACACAACGTGAAAACACAGCTCTCTTAGGTTTGTGGTTTAAAAAGGAGGCTTGAGGTGAATTTGTAGTAAAGTAAAATAGCATAATTTGAGGAAAATAATCAAAATCTGGCCTGTGTATCATCTCAAAAATATCAGCAGAGCTTATCAGCCATGGATTGCTCTATATTCAAAACAATCAGTATCAGCATTGGCTATAGAAAAACCCACATTGGTCAATCTCAACTATAGTATTAGATGGAAGGATGTGAATATATCAGTATTTTGTGTTAAGAAGAATTAAACATTAAACACCAACCCATAACAGAAATACTTAATTTTATTTTCCAATGAATAATAAAGTAATGTAATGTGAACAGCCAGATAAAAAAGCACTTTGACTCAATTAGATTAGGCATTAGATGTCTTACTACAAATCATATGAGCCTCTCTACTGTTCACTAAATGACAACTTCACAGAATATTCCAATACCTGAGATGTTTATCTGGTTTTCCTTTGCAATTTTTCTTTTTGATAGTTATACCTTTCTTTCTCCCTCATAAAAGAAGAATTACTACTTGACTGAAAAATGTTATTAGTAATAAATCTTGGCAATTTACTCTTGTGTGGGAAAATATCTTCACATAAATAGTTGATTGCGTCTTAACAGCAATCCTGAGTAAAAACACATTCTTGTTAACACAGAAAATGTTCATTACTTCCCTTTTTCTCTATTGACTGCAATTAGCAAATGTAGGCCTTCACTGTCTGGGAGAAACACAGATCTTTATTGTTGGATGTGCAGTTGCTTGTACTTGGGTGGTCCCGGCAGTACTGTTCTGAAGAGTGCACATAGCTGTTAATGAGTGGATAAATTGGTGACTGCGTGTCGGGACCTTGCAGTGGCAGAGGTGGCTTACCGGATCCTGCTGGTAATGCCTATTTGAGTCTATTGGAGCAGGAAGTAGGAATGGCATAACAAAGAGAATATTGTGAATAATGTGAAAATAAAGTGGTTGCCTATGGGCCTGTCACGATAACACATTTTGAAGCACGATATATTACTACAGAGATAAACTGTGATAAACGATAATATTGAAACTACTTTATGCCACTGACACACTGACAATAATGCAAGGTAATGCAAGTAAAACATGTTCATTAAAAATTATCATTAAAAGACATGAGCTACAACAGATAAACAGCAAAATGATGCAACAATTAGTCATAGAAGTTACTCATTCAACCCTCTACAGCTCAAATCTTTTTGCATTACAACAAAAATACAAAAAATCTGGGCATTATTGCAAAGAAACTGTACACACGATAAATACTGAGCCCCAAAATATATTGTCCCCCCTTTTATGTATTGATATTGACATTTATGTATTAAGTCAACATATATAACATATTTATCGTGACAGGGATAGTTGCGGATTTTAGATTGGTACATTGGTTTTATTAGTGATACATACAAGATGCAAGGTATTATTTTTTTATGATTTATTTACTTTCTTATTTTTATTGGTGACAAATGATTGAAGTTCATTTTTGAATGTTGAATTATAACATAAATGTGTACTTGCTATTGTATAATGGTATAAAAAATTATGGAATGTATTTTGAAACTGAGACTAGGAGTTCTTAACTTTTATACTATTTTTATACTTTGTTTTACATTCCAAGTACCTCCAAACCTCCTACTCAATTTTACCTACATGTTAAATCTGAAAACAGAACCACTTCCCTCTGGTTCCCTCACCCCTGATTGGGAAACCCTGGTCTACAAGGATTACTGGAACAAATTCACTTCCATAATACACTTTATACATAGTGGTTAAAAAAAATACAACCGCACTTGCTTCCACAGCAGTAAGTGATAATCACATTAGCTCGAGGAGACAGAAAAGTTAATTACATGTACTATATTTTGGCAGATGCAGGCAATTGAACAGAGGCAGACTTAAGAAATGAGAAGCGAGTGCAGTGAGGTTCTTAGGCTACATAAAAGCTTTCATTTGTGCTTAGGCTGTGGCCTGTTTCACTGTATTTAACATCAAAGAGAATAGGAACAATCCAGGCAATTTCTCATCTGGCCAAGGTCAATCATTGTTCTCTCTGTGTGAATGCAGATTGCACCGAAAGAAGAGTTTGGTGCACTGGGCTTTTTGAATAGATACTAGTACTATAGCACTAAAATACTGAAATTATGTTGAAAAATTATGACCATACATGTATATAAGAATTTTGAACATTTAAGATAAGATCGAGCTATGTATGTCTCAATTATAACCATAGTTGAGACATTTACGTAATCATTCTCATATGACATAAGTGTACAAATTGTGAATAAATTATTGTTTGAAAAATTACAAGGACTCAGGTTGATCAGATCAGGTTATTCATGTTAGTAATGTTGGTCTAATATTAGAACCCAACATAAAAAAAAATATATACTCCACTGTATTTCATTTTGTAATCAGAAAAAGTAGTAGCTTGTATTATTGCCTATTATATTTGGGGCACAGTCTGTCCATAGACACAAACTCAATTGTACGTAACTAGAAGTACTCCAGGCGACATCATGAGCACCCCTGCTGGCTTTCCAGGTTTCACGTATTCTTTTTCTCTCCCTTTCCCTCCTCTCCCTTTCCATCTGGTCAGCTGAAGATGTTCCACTCAGAAATTCTTTTTGATAATGGATTCTGTCTCAGCCTGTGCGTGCTGCAGGCCTGTCAGACATCCAGTTTTATATTATACATTATAGTCACTTCTGCCATTATCCAAAAAATCTTTATTGTGCTTAGAGTAGAGCATAAAAGTGAATGGGCGATAACTTTATTGAACAAGGCAGAAGAGGTAACATTATCATCAGGTTCTTAAGCCTTTCGAAATGTGATTTACACTCTTAGAAAATGGCTTCAAAGGAGGACTGCACTTGAGACAGACTTTTCAGCCTCTGCCGCTTCTGTTTTTGAAAATACATCAAGTGTTAATGTACACATGTGATGGCTCGCTGCTTTGGTGTCTGCAGACCACACACACTGTTTATATGAATTGGGTTGAGTGGGTGTTAACATGTGAAGGTACTACAATGGAGGATTACATGGTTCTTCAGTGCTCAGAACACAGAAACGCGTGCTTGTATTGTCTTGCAAGATGATACATGACCTTTTATTCAAAACTATGAGCCCACAAAGGTTAATCTTATGCTCAGAAACATGTAAATTTTGCTGTTGAATTTCTCTAGTGCTTTTTTTTTTATTAATTACTCCTCAGTTTTTAAGATATAATGTTTCTTCATTAATTTTTAATATTAGCTTGAGTTGTTGTAAACCTTGGAGGAACACATACTGCAATGTCCATACAGTCATACTACAATTGGGTATTTCTTTATTAGCTGGTGTTTAAATGTGAAAATGGACTCATCAGTGTGGAAATTGACTCATCATTATATGATATTGCAAGTAATACCTTAACTTATCTTCTTCTCTGTTTTCTTTTTCTCTTTCTCTGTCCAGATTTGAGAGATATGCACCCATGGCCTCCTGTTTGCAATCTGAAACTAGCCTCCCAGTAATCTCAAGTCTTCTCAAGAGTAATATGGTAAGTTAAAATTTCATGTAGTATTCCCTGAGCGTATGGTGACTTCCCTAAAAGTTAAATGTGTTTTCTAACTTCAGGAACCCATTCTATTGCTTTTCCAGCCTTTCTGAGTTAACTAAGAGTCATGTACCATATATTCCACAGCCCCCTACAGTAGTTCCTACCCCAAACCCACCCAGAGCCCCTCCCTGCCTGACCAGCATCCTGCCTGAAATTACAGTGTGTGAGGGGCCATTGTGGCAGTCTCCTCCTCCCTCCTCTCTCCTCAAATACACCCATTTTTATATCCGTCTTCTTGTGTTTGCATTGGAGATTTTGTTCCAGGACCATCAAACTGTCAATCACTCCCTCATTCATTTCCATCTGCTGCTTGAGTGAGTTCAGAAGCAGGTTAGCAAAAGTATTAATATGAAAGATTATTTTAAGGCACATAAATACTCTTTAAAGTTGAGTTTTAGAAATAGCATTACTTCATAAGAGAAGTGTTCCAAGGAAAAGTTTGTGGCTAGTGCAAAAATAAAACTTAAAAATAACTATTGCAAACACAGGATTTTGCATGAGTTAATATGTGAAACGTCACATTGTTGTGAAGGGATTTGAAAACATAAAATAGACCCTCTTCTTTAACATAATAGATAAAGATACATATTTTTAATTGCTCAGTAATTATTGGATATTACTTTAACATTTACACTGTTATTCACACACCTATATTTGAAGTTTTATTTAAATTCAGACTTTAAATAAAGACTGTGGATCTTAGATATTAACACCACTATTATTTAAGTCCACACAGTTTCCAGTAACAACAAAATAGGACAAAGCTTGCAGAAAAATCATTGCTATTGCCGATAATTCTAGAGAGAAACCTGAACCACATACAATTAAACATTTCCCAAACATATATCCTTTAGACTTCCCAGTACCTCCTTCAAAACCTGCTTCATCCTCGTGTTGAGCTCACCCACTCCACTCCTCACCACCGTAACCATATTAGCACCCTAACCAGCTGTAATGGCACACTCCATCACCTCCGCCAGGCCTCCGCTCTGGTTAACACTTGGCCAGGGCGCAACATGAAAGAATCGCGAGTGTGTGTAGCGTAGGAGCGCGTGTGTGTCCCCGCTATTAAAGCACTTGAGAAACACAGAGAGACCGCTTGCTAATGGATGTGTCTATTGATGTTCCCATTTAGCGGCACACTGTAAACGATAGGGCAATGATTGTGTTGAAGACAGGAGGGGGAAGCGGCCGGGGAGAGGGAGGTGGGGAGGTGGGGGGGCAGGGGAGCGCGTCTTTGGGCTCGCCGATGATAATGATAAGGAAGGTTATTATTTGGCGCCCCGCGGAGTCTTCTCTTGTGCCTGCATGTGTGTGGAGCAGAGATAGACAGCCCCCATCTTTCCAGTCTGGAAGATATAATTCATTTTATGACACTATTGCCGCGAGTCTACTCTTCTTGTTTTGTAATGCACCAGCAAAAAAAAAGCAACAAAAATGTTACCAGCGATTAATATTTTAGGTCGCCCTTGAAATATTGATTCGCGCACCAGTCTATTTCTTACCCAGTTGTTTTAGGGTGTGCGTTTGTCTTGTCAGTTTCAATAAATGTACTATGAGGGATATGAATACAGTCAGTCAGTTGGCACAGACCACCTCCAGCTGGACCCAGATCCCCCCCCGTATGGGTGGGTTAGATTGTGTGTGAGTGTGTGAGTGTGTGTGTGCGCGTATGGGAAGAGGGCGAAGGGGTGGGGTAAGGAGGAGAAGGGGGGGTGCACATGTCCTTTCGGATTTATCAACACCTCGACAACCTGAGCAAGAAAGTAGACAATGTGATATGGCGTTTGGCACGTGACGGGCAGAGAGCCAACTGTCTCTCCTGTGTATATGCATTATTAGACTATATATTAGAGGTTATAGACCCCGAGTGTGTAAATAAAATACAGGCAAGCAACTGTAACACATATATATATATATATATATATATATATATATATATATATATATATATATATATATATATATATATATATATATATATATATATATATATACAGTACCTTGAGAAAGCCCTTTCATTTAGCTGTTCAATGGAAATGAAACTACTGACAGTTGAACAGCCATATCCTGTTTTTAAGTTAGCATCTTTAGAAACATTTAATGATATTTATGAAATAGTCCATTCACACTTAACTTTATGTTTTTGTATGGTTAACAATTTATATTTTTTACTCTTGAATCATGCTTTGGTACACATTTAGATTTTTATTTTTTTTTTAGGTTAGGCTTCTCAATTTATCCATTTATCCAGGACTGAGAGAGTTCATTGGTTATAAATGAAAAAGGTCGATGTGGTTAATTAAATTAGCCATGAAATTATTATAGAGGGTCATATAAAATCATCCCATGGCGTTGGATAGAGGTTTTTGGGCCTTTTCGTCAAATAGTTACAGATTGAGATCCAGTACATTATAACTGATGCCTAGCTATCCTTATGTGAACTCCCAATACTACCCTTGCATTTGATATTGAAAGTTAATCTGCCATTCTGTGTGTGTATGTTCTTATAATTGCAGGTCAAACTGCAGAGGAAGCGGAGGAGACACAATTGCGGCGCTAAGGAAATGGAATCACACACACATACACGCACGCATGCACACACACAGACACACACACACACAATCACACATGTACACTCACACCTGGAGGGGAAGAGCAGGTGAGTATTAAGTCAGGAAGCTAAACAGATCACGTCGCGGTATGATATCAGCAGACAGGCAGACAGACAGAGGAGACTGGTCCATACCTGCAGGCGCTCGGCAACAGCTCACACATACACAAACCTGGCTAGGAATGTCCTCCCCCCCCTCCGGAGACAGCCACACCAGGGGAGGGGGGAGGACGAAGCCAGGGGACTGAGAATGAACCAGAGCTACTGTTGAAATGTGGTCAGGAAATGTTGTAAAAAAGGAGGGCGACATTTTGTTTCAAGATGTTGAGTATTTGGACTGCAACATATAAAAAACATGCAGATTTTTTATTGATATTATTAGGCTTGTCTTGAGTGTGACATTTTGCTACAGAAAATATGATAAACAGTAATATTGAAAGAGTTAACACAAGTTAAGTTAACACTTAAGCAATAACCTTTAAGCAGGGTAACACAAAAGCTATTCAGAATGTACAGTATTGTTAAAAACATGACACCATAATAGAAGTATAATAATAGCCATAGAAAGTACTAATTTAACTTTCCACAGCAGAAATCTTATCATACTACCAAAAAAAAAGTTGCACACTTTAGTACTGTATTAAGTACTGAGCTCAAAAATATTATTCTAGTTATCATATACTGAACTACAAAGTCAGTATAGTAATTATCGTGACCTAGGCATAGATACCATGTAAAAAGTAGTGTCAAAATTAATGTAAATTCAAGGACCAAAATGCAGCCCACTTGATGTATTCAGAATTTTGACTGGACTCTTTATGGCTGGATGGTCTAATTTGATTCTACTATGACTGTTTTGTATTGATTTATTTTTCAAAAGCAACAGTTTTCTCAGCTGAGATTAACCAAATTGATAGTTGTCTTTTTTATGAAGCAAATAACATATCATTGACAAATTATCTTCACACCAATTTACCTCATGGAAAGATAAGAACTGTAAAAGTGATTTAATCCATTCACACAGTAGCAGCTATATTAGTCATCGATGATCCTTTTGTTATCATATGTAATCTGATAATCTGCTGGACAATTTGTCTTTCTGAAATATTTTTTGTCGTTTGATAGTAATGGCCTAACTCTGAGAGTTGTTACGCAAACTAGTTTATCCAGTTTTCCTTCAAAACCCTTCCACCTATTCCTACCTCCCATTTGTCAACCCCTTTTTATGTAGCTCATGATTCATTTATTTTATTACTGGTAACATCAAATTTCCCCAAAAAGCAGCCTCTCCTTACACAAAACCGCCAGATGCACTTATCTAAAAATGATTCCGTGGTTAAATGTCAGAGCTGTCGGTACCATTAAGGCCAGTTGAGTTGAAGACAGGACACCCTCTCGCCTCCTCTTCCACTGTCTCTTCCTATTTCTCCAGCTCCTTGCTCATCATCAAATAGCCCTCCGCCCACCCCTCTCCCCACCCGACCAGGCTGCTGTGAGGGCTGATGTTGCAGACCTTGTCATTCAGATTTGGGCCACATTGTCAGCTGGCGGCCCTCCTCCCCCCTCTCCTCTTCCAACCGGATCTTTCTTCGTACTGTCATCCAGGTCCTGCGGCCAGAGGAGACCTTATGAAACATCGTTCCTCTTCATCCACTTCTGTCAGTTTCAGCACTGTCACTCAAATCACATATTTTTTTAGTAAGAAGTCACAGTTAGGCTCAGAGCAAGGACTGTGCTTTTTTGGGTAAATTTGGTTAGAAATTGTCAACTAGGAGAGCTAGAGGCCTTTAAATACACCACATTGCAAAGACAGTGGCTGTGGTTACATTCACACCAACATCTGATTATTATATCTGATTTGTAGACCTTTAAGATTACTTAAATGATACGCAAACAGCACAATCTGATGTGAGTAATCAGAGGGACCATGATGACCAGAAGTTTTTTCACGTCATTTTAATACAGTTATAACTCCAAAAAACTGATAGTAATCCTACTTTGATTGCATACTGATGGCACGGCAGTTGAAATATTTTGCCCATGAGCACAAAAATGTCCAAGTGGAGGCAGGAATTGAACTGACAACTTTCCAGTTAGTGGGTATGGTGCTCTGTACACTGAGATCTTGTCACACCAAGTTATATTTTTATATATTTTATTGCATTATCATGAAGATCCAACATTTTATATCAATGGAAATACCACAAAAGTGGATAGATTACAGTGACATACAAGTGTTTTTTAATATATCAATATTTTTATATTCTAAATTCTCTCTAGTTAAACCCCAGCCAGAACAGTTGATAGTAAGCTCCACCTTCACATCACTTCTCATAAACACTAAACAATGTCCGACACATTCTGTATCATCCAACCACATGTTGACTCAAAACCACATTTTATTGTTCTGCGTCAGATCAGTTGTGGCTTTTGGCTGCTCCTATAAAACTGTTTTTGTAGTAATGATTCAGAATTGTGTAATACCTCACACATTTCCATGGTATTAATTAGACAGTAAGTCAAACCTGTTGTGCTCCCTTAATGATATGCCATGCTTTACTGAAAGTGAGTCAACCATTTTGAACCTTGTTGTGAGTAATCTTATAGGCAAACCATGTAAAACGCTTCAGTCCCATGTATCGTCTACAGCCCTGCCCAGGTGCACTGTTTGCTAAAAGCCACTATGAGTCAGGAGTTTCGAGATGACTTCCTCTCTTAAACATGTATTAAAAGTGTTTCCCGTTCATGGTTCAGTCAAGGTGTCATTATCAGTGTATGTCATAGAGTAGTACAGCAGATTTCTACTGTAAGATGCTTACCCAGATTAGAAGTATTCAAACTGCAATGGCATTAGGCATAGCAAATTACAGGTGAGCTTTTTTAGTTCATCATTATGGTAAATATGGTTTTAAAAACAGATGTTAGCATTAAGTGATTAATCTATTTTTAATGTTGTTTAATGTATAATGGGATAACAGAAATAACATTGTGTTTATATGTACATTTTGAAACTTGTATTAAGTATTGTTAAATGAAATACTTTTTCACTGTCTGCTCACTCTATAGGTAGGCCATGAAATGTTTACCTTTAGTCACATTTTTATAATATTCCCTCAATACTAAGAAATCGTGTTTCCCTGAATTTCCCCATTTCAGGAAAACGTTAATTAGACTAAAATTAATATAGCTATAAATAAAACATTTTCCTAGTTAGAGAAGCCCTGGGTGTCCCTATCTGAGCATTTCTGTATCTAATTAAGGTGATAACCAATGTGTTATATAGAGCTATTTGAGTGCCTGTCTCAGTAGAGCAGAATTTAGCTTCTTCCACCACAGCCCATAGGAATGAGTCACTCCCTGTGCATCCCTAAGCAGACTGTCATCTCTTGTCACCATCAGGACCCTGCTCGCCCCGGTGAACATTCAACGCTGTCGGTGAGTTTGAGCTAAATGAAGAAAACCATCGACCGTTGACTGTACCCTGTGGCTGGGTTTTGTCACTACGAATCTGGCAAAAAAAAAAAAAACTGGATGTAAAAACACACACAAATGAGACTCACATAGTTGTTATACTAATGCATGCACAGGACCTAGTGGACCAAAAGGAGATCTTTCTTCCAGGCGTTTCACAACAAAGGTCACAATCAACATTCATTGCTGTCGGTGGGTTTAACTGTGTGGAAGAGCTCACTGAACGATGAATGCAACTGTGTCCCAGATTTCGTCCGCCGCCGAGGGAATAGCAGCATGATGATGGCGTTATTTACCTCCTCCGATGTCAACTCGAATCCAGTGTGCAGCTTAGAGACTGTGGAGCAAACTGACAGCAAGTTCACATTGGATTTTGGTCAGTGGAGCTGGAGGGTTTTGATGGAAGACCCAGCATTACTGAGGGCTAAAGTGGAATAATATGAGCTTTAATGTGAAATGTAAACGTACCTGATTAGATGTATGTTCTTTCATATCATTATTGACTTGGTTTGTAAATTGTTATTCATTAGTTGTTGTTTTTTTTTTTTTATTTAATAAAATGGTATTGTAATTATCATTGTGCCTTCATTTGTCAATTAAAGTAAAGCTATTAAACTAAATTAAATGACTAAATTACTAAATGAAATCGAAATAATATAATAAATTATTAAAGGTGCATTATGTATTTTTTTTCTGGTGGAGAGTTCACCACCTGCTTTTCTCTAAGGAGATGTTATTGCTTTGCCTGGAATGTATCTCCATGCAGACAAGCAGGTGACACCACCAGTTACAGGTCAAATATGTGGAGAGCCAAGTCCACTTAAGTCCAGTAAGAATGCATGTGATTTCAATAGATTTTTAAGAAATAAACACTTGTGATTGAATAAATTCAACACAAATTCAGTGCAATAATATGGAAAATTCAGGAGACAAGCAGGCGGTGGACACCACGAGAAAACAGTTCCACAACACACCTTTAACTGCGGCTTTCTCTTGGAGACTTACAGACCACTAGAGGGAGACCAAGACCACAACAAGAATTTCTCCAGTTCCATTTATTTTAGGCAAAAACCAGAAGATATACTACAAAAAGGGCTCATCAGTAGATGGTCAAGGACAAACATGAAATATGATGACTGGTAATGAATAAAAAGACTAGTGGTCATAAAAATGTTAGCCTGCTAATATACAAGTAAAATAATGCATCTGTGATTAAAACACTACTGTTTAGGATAGTGATCTATTGCTAAACAAAAAACTATAAGATAATGCAATGACTATTCTATCAGTCTTGACAGGCAACTCTACCAATGACATATACATTCACAGTAGCTTTGGCTTTTTTCTTTTTTTGGTAAAAAAAAACCCAACACCACATAATATATATATAAAAATAAACTTGTCTCCCCAGAAACATGTAAACATGATCCCACATGAATGAACAGCTGCCAATTTACCAATGTACTGTATAAAAAATATTTACCCGTTCACAATCATGTGAAACAGACTAAACAAAAATCAACAAAAGGATCAACATTGTGGATCAACTATCATGAATGAACTAACCAAAAATGGCAATATAATGATGGATGAAACCAGCTATTTTTCATTTGAACCGATACCAAATAATACTATGGAAGTATAGAAATATTGCAATGTTATCCGATACCGACACCTATGAGTTTACATTAAAACTCTGAAGAATTTTACCTTGAAGTATGATTCTTAACATCATAATTTTAGCTCTACCCCAGCGTTAACTGATCTAAAACTTTAATGTACGTGAAGATAAACTAAGATATAAAAAATTTTCATGTAACTATGTAACATGTTTCATAATGTTTCATCATGATTAAAACATTTTTTAAAAGCCATTTTTGATCACTGTTTGATGTTTTTTGCAAATCAATATTTTTGAAAACTTGTAAGGATCAATAATATATAATCAATGTTTTGTTATTAATTGGCCCATTACTACTGCAACGTATCTGAAATGAAATGTACCTCAAACATCAGAAATGTCACTGACAAGAGTCACAGTCTTTGCTCATTGCCTGATATCTGCTGGTCTGAGCTGCCTCTCTCCCTCGGCCAGAAAGATCTGCATGGCCCTGTACAAAAGGTGGATGCCCAGCTCCTTCTTCCTTCTTTGCTGCCAGTTGGACGCTATACCATAATAATCTCCTCTCTTCTGGTTGGTCAGCATCTTCAGGCCTACGATTCATTTGAGGACATGTCAATTCACACGGTTAGGTACTGCACTTAGGCAATTTCTCTTATACATGAATACTATTAAAATAATGTTCAAGGTTCTGCACATTATTGATGTCGTAGTTTATAGGGTTCAGTGCTATGTCTATGGCTTTAAAAGAAAAAAAAAGTAGCATACATTAACTGGTCTTACCAATAGCTTCCACCATGCACGCCTCTCTGGTGTAGGCTTCCACAGGGATTACGTTTTGGAAACAGTGCAAGGAAATGACGCCCTGGCCGGCATTCCACACCTGGAGAATGTGGTCCACTTTGCGACACAGTTTCTAAATCAGAAGACAAAATTGTGAAGATGTTACGAGCTGATTTACAGGTTTGTCAAGGGTATCTGTGTAATTGTACCTTAGAGCTTTTCTCCCCTTTGTAGTACTCTAAAGCCTCATACAGATGACTGTATGGGCGTGATCGCTTCCCCTTGCCAACATAGAATATAGCATTCACAAATGTCTTGAAACATTCATGTGGGGTTATGGTGTGACTGCGAAATGGAAGGTTGTTGGTGACCCTGGAATAAAACAGGAAACAAACTATGCATTGACTTGCATTTTAATGTGAAAAACAAAAACTGAAAGATGCACACCTTGGATCCAGCAGCAGGTAGTTGAAGCTGGATTTTATGATGCCCTCTCTCCATTTCCTGTTCTGATCTGGTTGTTCAAACTGTTGACACAGAGCCTGTTCATCTTCCTGGCTCTGAGGTAATTCAAATGTCCTTAAAACGCGACACAGTTCTACACTGTAACCTAAATCTGTGGGGAAAAAAAAAGCTTTAACACAGTGTATTTGGGGATTATTTGGAATGTAATTCTCATTGCCCACTGACCTGACTGTGTCTGATCTAAGCCCTTTTGTCGATTTAGAGATTGTGTCTTTGCCTCCTGTAAGAGGTGGCACAGTCTACGCATGTAGGTGGGCCTTGTCCTGCTGCTGATTGGTCCAGGGCTCTCTCCCAGCTCCAACAGCCTTATTCGGAGCTCTTTGTCCGTTAGGCCCCTAGTTTCTGGTAGACCCTCCACATTGCTGTCACTGGAGTCCCTTTGTGGCACTGGCTTCGGCTCCTGGTTCTCCTTCTCCTTGCCCTTATCAATGTCTCTGTGCATGGAGCGCCAGTCATACAAAATGGTCTCCTCGCTGCTGCTTGAGCTGAGGGAGGTATTGGCTTTAGGAGGGATGTGGGTCTCGATGAACTTGTGCCCTTGTTCTGTGTCAGTGTAGAGGTACTCCACAGGCTCCTCCACATCATCAATGAGGGGCCGTCCTCCAGGTGTGTAGGAGATATTGGCTAAGCTCCGTGGCCTGTTCCAGCCTGACAGTCTACTCATGCTGTACCGCGGGGTGCATCCAGTGCCTGGGGTGCACGGGGGGTCAGAATCTTCCCGAGATCTCCTTGGGGAGAAATAACTGGAGCTGGATGAGGAGGATACAGATCCATGCTGAGAGCTGCAGTCTTCTGTTATCCAGACTTCATCTTCTTTTGCTCTGTGTTCTGAGGTTTGACACTTATCTTTCTGCACATCACTCCCATCATCTGTACTTGTAACATCGTCAGTCAGAAAATCCCTGTTGTCTGAGGCTTTGTTTTGTATAGCTTTTACAATCTCAGCAAAACTCTTTTCATACGCATCCACAATTTCAGTTTTTTTATCCAAGATAAACGTGTCACCTTGTGATTCAAAATAGGGAATAGTGTCATTGACAGTCTGGGAGAGATTGATAGTATCTTCTTGACTACCGCTAACACTGGAGCTGGCTCTCAAAGTGCTGGACTGTGTGTCCTGGTAGTCTCTTGGCCCCAAGTCTCCTTCGTTGTTGATGGGATAATATGAGGGAGGGTTTGCTGTATGGAGGCCATTGTAATTGCTTTCAGAACTCTGAGACCGTGGCGTCTGTCTGCGAGATCTAACAGGTGTAGGAAGAGTATCCTCAAACAGAGCGGAGGTGATCAGGAGACTCTGTGGTGTTTTGCTCGTCCTCATTGAGCAGCGACTCAAGCGAGAGCGTGTCCTGCCTGTGACAAAAGGACTGGGAGTGAAAGACAAATCTTGATCAAATGAATCCGCTGGGGGGTTTTCTGTCACTGGCTTCATTTCATCTGCAATGTTACAAAGGCCAGTTGCATCATCATTTTTGTGATTTACTTCAGACAAGGCCAAGTTATGAAAGTTGTCTGATAGATGTTCTATGTCATTACATTTTGAATCTGACTGAGGATATGACGGATCCTCTTCTTTGCGTTCTCCTTGTGCTTCTGTGGAATCTGTGTCAGGGGTAATTCCTGGGGATTCTTTTGCAACAGGATGAGGTTTAAGGTTTACTGGACCCTCTAAAGCGCTTGTGTAATGGTCACTATCACAGCTACTGTAATGGCTACTTGTGGTTCCGCTGCTGCTGCTGCCACTCCCCAGCTTCTCATTCTGAACCACTTTGACATTTCTAGGCTGCTGTTCCTCCTCATCGCTTTCGTCTAAAGTACACTGACTAATCACAGTTTTCTCCAGATCCTCATCTGTAGTCTCACTGCTTTCCCTGCTGAACACATAAACGTGATCAGGTGAGGTGACATCAATGCCCTGTGTCTGTAAAACTGTGGCCATGCGCTCTGTATCCAAAAACTCTGAGTATTCCATGGGGTCAAAAGGCAAACTCCTGTCTTCAGGCGGTTGCTGTTTGGGAGTTTCGGGACTAAACACAGGAAAATATTCATCTACGTCTCTAAATGAGACACTTTTCGACTTGTTCGCTGAGAAGGAAGAATAGGTGTGTCAAATATATCTTTTTTTAAAGGGGAGATTCTGTCCTCATGTGTCCACAAATCGTGCTCCTTAACAATTGGTAAGATCCGACTGGTAAGTCCGGCAGCTGACACACGTGTGCTTGATAAAATGGACGGGCCCTCAAATGCTGAACTGTTCCACTCTTGGCTATATCGTCTCTGATCACCCATGTCAGAAATTCTGTTTGACAGTCCTCTTCTGTTGGATCTTCCATTCATATTGCACAAGTTGAAAAATGAAGACCGTCTTGTGCTACTTAAAGGGCCTTCACCAAAGTCACTGATCTTTGATGAAGAAGAGCTAAAACTAAATTCGGAGTCTGGGGGGCTGGATGTGTCCGTTTGGTCAGAATACACAGCTGTTGGGGGGAAAAAAGTTAAATATTTGTAAATTAAATGGGCTTTAAAAATCACTAATTTAAAGGTGCACTATTTAAGGTATTTCTGAGCAATAAAACACCTGTAATTGAACAAATGTAAGTTACAGAATTTTGGAGAAATACTGTGGATCATTGCAGGAAAAGCAAAAACATCTCCATGGAGAGAAGCAGAAGACAGATTTCTTTACACTAAAAAACATAGTGCATCTCTAAAAATGCAAGTCCTTATGAATGCAATGAGAATGTTATAAATCAAGTACACTTACAGTAAGAAAAGTGAGGCAGGTCCTCTTCTTCTGTATCTCCAGAATCTGTCTGATACTCCCGAAGAAGCTGTGCACATTTCGTGTTATCTTGTTGTTCTGCAAGTTGTCGTGGAGTATTCCCATCCTGAATAACGTAAAAAGTTAGAAACTGAATATACTTACAAAACAATGGCAAACTAGTTAAGTAGTTAAATGTATTTATGTTGTATAATAATACTACAATAATAAAATACATCTAATAAAATAACCATTTACATTGTCTGTCAAGTTCACATTCCCTCCATTGGTCAAAAGTAGTTTCAAATTTTGGAAGCATCCCCAAGCTGCAGCAATGTGAAGAGGTGTCAGCCCATCTGAAGATCTGGATTTAAAAAGTTTAGTTTATTTTGTTAATCAACTCGTAAGTAATAATGGGAGTTAGGGCATTTGTAATGTCCAGAGAATAAGTAGCTGTGTAAATTACAAATAAGCACTAATTACAAGTACCTTAATCATAAACAATCATAATTCTAAAGAACAGACTTTTTTTATAGCTTCGGGACATACTTGACATTGGGGTTTACTCCATTCTGAAGCAGTAATTTTAAGCAGCGCAGATTTTTCTCTGTCTCTTTGCCAACAGCCAGGTGGATAGCTGCCACTCCTTGTCTGTTCACTACATCAGCCCGTGCGCCTTGGGATAGCAGAAGCTGCACAGATCTGTAAAGATGACAGTAAAAGTCAATTAAGAGTCACAAAGCCTAACTCAATTACGGCGTTACTGAAGTGACGTCAATATGCACGAATTGCAAACCAATAACCACTCTACCATAATACTGTGATATATTATTTGTTGCACATTTTATAATAATTCATTATCAAACCTAGCATAGCTCACACTCTTAATATGTAATAATCTTTTCAAGTCTGTGTCATAAAACATAGACAACAAATAGCATGTCTGGACAGATTAGTACTTTTACCTGGGGTCTCCATCATTTACGGCTTCACATAGTTCACTCTCGAGCCTCTTCGACTTTCGGTCCATGGTCAAAGTTATCCAGGTATGTCTGCAGCTCAACAATAACTATCGAGTCCTAATCCAACTTGGCTCATTGTTTACCACTGTTGTGCAACATGCTAGTGCTAGCATAGCTAATACAACCTGAGAAACAAAAGAAAAGCATTATGTACCCATGCACGCGCATTAAACTCGATCCCGTTAAACGTGGTAAAACATTTAGCGTTTTGTGTGTATTTTACGACCTGATTTCGTAAATTAAATGTATATGGATTAAATTTCCCTCCACGGACAATAACCACCCCCTTTGCACGAACAAACAGGAAGTCCCGCCCTTTCTTCCTTACATCCAATTAGACACCATTGGAGCAGTGCAAAGTCTTTGGCCAATCAGAAGCTTAGGCTGCGTTCAGACTGCAGCCTGAAGTGACCCAAATCCGATTTTTTGGTTTCGATTTCATCATCGATACTCTGTTTTATATTCAGTGTTTTTTTGTTTTTTTTTTCAGTTACAATTTCAATAGTTTCCATGCAATGAGGACCGAGAAAGTCTTTACAAAGGTATGATTTATTTACAGCAGTGTGACGACTGTTTTTGTGCTTTGCTGTTGAAACTTTAATTTTACATTGCTGGACAAATGCATTTTCATTTTATTTAGTGATTTATTTATTTATGCATTTTCTTGACAATATTATTAATCCGACTCTAATCGTTACATCGAACGATAATCGCCATTATTAGCTTTATTTTACATGTATTTAATAAATAATTCAAAAGTACATTAACAAATTCTATTCAAAGCAGTCACTTTAAAACATAAACAGCAGCTCTACACAAAGGAACATTAGATGCAAAAATATATTTTTCTATTTAAGTATCAAATAGCACATATATCATTTTAAACTTTAAAAAGTGCTGAAATAAATCAAAGCACCCATAACAACCAGTAGCAGACTGGAGTGAACTGGTGCAGCATGGTTGGGTTCAGGGAGTCTGCACTCTTCATAGGGCTCTACACAGGAGGCATAGGCCATGACATGTGCAATGTAATTCTGCTCTTGGACTCCATGAAAAAGATGGGACATGGGGCCTTTGGCATAGATGGCCACATCATCAATGCCGTGGGTTTCTGAGTTCAGCGGGACAGGGGCTTGCTGCAAGTATTCCTTGTCACCTGGGGGAAATATGACCATTGCTTAAAACAAATCATAAAAGGTATAGGTATACGCACACCACTGGTGCAAGGCTACTACAGTGAACATAGAAATTGAGACAAAGCCTGCACACTTATTCCCAAATTGCATTTAATGAATGACAAAATGTCTGTGTGCCTCTCCTATATCTCCCATATCTTCTGCTCACTGGTTGGTTGGCCAGTCCAAAAGTGAGCCATAGGAGATGTCCACACAACACAAGAGAGGGAACTATGACCTGACGAAGATCCACTGATGGAAACGTTGTCATTCATTAAATCCAGTTTGGAAGTAAGTGCGCAGGCTTTGTGTCACTTTCTACGTTACTTAAAAAAATCTCATGTTGTTTTCTTTGCACAGTTCTATTACTAACCACCAGAGGGTGATACTGCATCACAGTTATTATTTGAATAACTTTAGAACTTACGTGTAAGAGTTTCATTTACATCTGGGCGGGTTCCATTTGCACCAATTTGGTATCCTGGACCATTTCCATACACAGCCATAGTGAAACGCTTATTGTCCTCAGCTATTTTGCGAGACACTCCTGTACATATGAAACACATGTATATTTTTAATGCTGTTCAAATATACACACTCAGTCTCTCTCTCTCTCTTTTTTTTAGGTTTACCAAAAACTGAATTCCCTCTGGCAGAATGTCCCCCAAAGGCAAAGACATGGGAGTGGTCAGCGGTGACTACAGTCAGGGTGTCAAACTCATTGGTGAGTTCAGCTGCTCGGCCAATAGCATTGTCAAACTCAACTGCTTCATGAAGGGATCGTTGTGCATTTCCTGCGTGGTGGGCATGATCTATTCTACCCCTTATAAAGAACAAAAATGTATTATTATTATTTTTTATAACAGAAATATGTTGCTTTTCTAACAATGAGCAGATTATTAGTGTTAGTATGGAGACATGCACACATACAAAATCAGTAATACTTATCTTCCACAAAAAGGAAAAATCCCTTGGGGTTCTTGGATAGAATCTGGATAGCTTTCACCATCATCTCAGTTAGAGAAGGGTCCATGCTCGGATCACGATCCAACTCATAACGACAGTCTTTTGGCTCAAACAACCCTATAGATACACAGTAGTTTCAGAATATTTATAATTGCTGCACATAGGTATTTTAATTAACAATAAACATTTCACATTGCTCTTACCCAGAAGGAAGTCAGTATTTTTAGGATCCACCTTATCAAAGTCTTTTTTGTTCCAGACATATTTAGCTTTCTGTAAAATGATAATGTAATGTTTTCAATTAAAGTTAAAATATATTTATTTTTGTTGAATTATTTTAATTACATGTATTGCCTCTGTACCTGTTTATTCTTAAGCCACTCCACAATGAGATTCTGTCCATCTAATCTATCGCCCTTTGACTTTGGATACTCTGGGTCTTGTGTATCTTTGGGAAGCATGTATTGACGTCCTCCACCGAGGATTACCTGCAGTTAAGGGTATTATTTACATCTATTCAATGCATATATTTAATGTTATTTCTTTTTGTGCTAATTACATCGATCTCTGTGTTGTGCACCAGCTGGTAGGCCATATCCCGGCAGCCATTTTCTATAGCCTCAGGGGTCAGGTCAGAGTCTGAGTACCAGTCTCGGTCGGGTGTGTGAGCGTAAGCAGCTCCAGGAGACGCATGCTGGATTCGAGTGGTGGTAACTATTCCCACTGATTTCCCTAAACACAGAACAGTTGAAGTTATCATGTAACACACTCACCAGTGCCTGTCTGTAAAAGTATATCATGAAGAAAGTGGCTACAGATAAGATAAACAGACAAATATAAACACCTCTCAGAAATATATACTAAAGGCTTGCAATGCAATTTGAAGCTAGGACTGCCACAATAATTACTTTGTCAACATTCATTCAATTATAGTTAGAACAATATTTTTTTGCTGGTCAGTATTTACCATGTGTACTTTTTCTTTGTACAATGGTGAGGTTTTGTGTGGCCCTACCAGCTGGTCAAAGCCTGATCCTGTCAGATCCCAGAAGCTAAGGAAGGCCGGGCCTGGTTAGTACTTGGATGCGAGACCTCTGGGAAAATCAGGTGCCACAGAGGGGCGCTAGTTGCAAAAAAACTGCCATTGTGTCTTTAGGCAAGGCACTTCACCCACATTGTCTAGTATGAATGTGGTGTGTGTGAGGGATGGTGCAGATTGGCTGCCTCATTTCTGTCAGTCTGCCCCAGTGCACCTATGGCTACAGTAATAGCTTACCACCCCTGAATGTGGAGTGAATGAATAAAGCGTCTTTGGGTATTCAGAAAAGCTCTATATAAAACTGATGCATTATTATTTATGTTTTTGTTACTACGATAAGATTTGGGCTGTATCAGACTGAATAAGTAACTTGACTTATTTTATACAAACAGCTCCTTACTAACCACTAAGTATTGCACATTTAGTATATGTTTTGAAGGATAACTCTGTAAGGTTATTTTGTCAGTGGCATGAATTACTTTCAATATTATCATTTATTGTCTGTATTTCCAGCCATAAATTACACTTAAAATCGTTGATTGTGAAATCTGAAGCTGAACAAAATATACTAAACTTACCTAATTTCTTGGAGCGATGTAGGATGGAGGTAACTTCATTTCCAGAGGAAGTACTACAGTTGGACAACTGGACTGCTGCAGTGACACCCAGAGTCCCATAGTTGGCCTTTACTCCACACAAGTATGCTGTGGCTGTGCCAGCGCTGTCTGGCATCTGCTGGTCTACATTGTATGTCTATTCCAAAGACACATTTGTGTTACTTTTCATAACGAATTTTTTATTCTTGGTTTATTTTGTAATTTTCTCAGTCCTAATTTACTAGGTATGTCATGCTATAATATTTTAGTGTCGAAATGTTTATGAGAAGAAACAATTTTACTATAATTCACAATCTGTGAATTCATTTCATTTACATTAACTAATAGATTGAGAGGCATAAAAGACATTTCTTTAAGTCAAGATTCAATTAAATTCTTTACGTTTGTTTGAGAAATTATTTTGATTATTATGTTTTGGTTCTACTGTGAGCTGAATAATCAGAATATCAATTAACCAGTTAATCTTGACATCTTTGTTATGTACTTACCTTAGACAGGGCAACGTGAGGAAAGGTATCCATGACTAAACTGGTTTCTTCACCTGTGTGCCCTGCCAGCTGCCCTTTGAGGATCCTAGCTGCGGTCACTGTGGGTACACCCATTCCTATGCACAGGTGGACATGCACCTGAATATTAGGTAATACTGGAAACAATATGGCTATTGTTCTGTATAAACCATAAGGCTAAGCAGATGTTAAACTCAATAGAGCGGAGAAAGACGATGAAGTAGTAGCGATTGAGATCTAGAGATTAGAGTGGCTTCAAAGACAGATGTTCATTTATTATGTAACTATTAAAAGATCACTAGCAACATCGGCACTGTATATGCTACAAGCACATAAGGTGACAAGATTTTCAAAGCTTCCAACAAAGCCATAGCTCTTATCTCCTCTTGAGTTCAAGCCAATAACTTACTACTGTAGTTATCTTCTCTTGGCCACTATTTTTAACGAGGTGATTATCTGTTACTGATCAATCACTAACACAGATAAACTCCTGGGCTATCAGCAGTGTGCGGGGCATTTAGGAGCACCGCTGTCATTACTAACCACACAATTACATTTAACTGTTTTACTCCACAGGTATTCTTATCTCAACCTTCCCAGAATGTAGTTAGTTCCTGTTATAATGATAATAATTTTCTGTACAAAATTATATTTGCAAATATGAACTAAATACAAGTCGAGCAGCTATTTGTAACTCTGACATTTTTGAATTTGAGAAGGCTTGCAGAAACATATCTTATGTCCTTATATATGGTTGGTGAGGATATGAGAAGAGTTAGAGAGGCTCACCATCTCCCAAGAAGAGGATGACGTTTTTGGCCTTCTGCAGATTGGGCTGGACATTGAGGGCTGTGTGAAGCGCCTGTCTAGCCTTGTTGTTCCAGTAGCTGGCCTGAAGTTCCTCCTCTGTGTGAGAGAAATTTAAATTATCTTTTGACATTTGAATAAAAATGGCTTAATTTTAGTCTGCTCTACAACAAGCTACTTGGAATACAATGGACATCCAATGTATAACATTATCTGTGTGCATTCAGTGGCTTTGTGTACCTATATTAAATTTACATGATAACATAAATTTACAATTCAATTAAAGTTCAGTCATATTTAACATACTATTATTGTTTGTTATTTGGGTCTCAACCGTAAAATGAAAAAGCTTAGACTCTCTAGGTGTATAAACGGCTGATCAACCATCATCATTCATTAGAAACACTTACCAGAATAACACGTCCCCCACTCCACCAAAGTAAATAACAATAATCCAATCCAAATGAATGTCTGTTTGTTAGCCATGTTGTGGGCTATGTGTATAAAAGCCATGTGAACTGAATGGTGCTCTCTCTCACACTTTATAGCAGCAGGTGGAGGGTAAAGGGCACTTGGTGCACTTCTTCAACGTGAGCTAGTAGGAGAAAAGTTGCATACATAAGGCTACTAACTGATGGGTGTGACCAAGGATCACAGCACAGTTTGCCTGTATAATAAGCTAAATAATCTATAATATGTACTATAGTTCATGTTGTATTTATAATGTTGAAAACATTATGTTGTTGAATGTATATGTGAATATAGGCCATGATATAAAATCACTCAAAAGCAAAGAAAAGAAGGTTTTATTTTTTATTTCTTTAAGAACCTCTGTAAAAGATATACATTTGTAAAAATGCTATACATAAATTTTTCAAATATATATTCAAGTAAAATATTCCAAATAGTAAAGGCCAAGAAAGATCTTAAGAGATCCTAACAATCATAACTATCTGGATAAATTGAGGTCATTGTATTTCAAACTTCAAAGTTTCATGCTTTAATACCTGAAATCATTGCAGCCCTAGAAAACATCTGGGCATTCCATAAGTGTTGTAGTCCACATCAAGCATTGATACAGCAAGTTTGTGATTGCCCATAATACAGTATAAAAACAGGTAATACAGTGTTTCTCTTAGACTATGATGGCATAGGCAATCCTTATTTGGATAATTTCTTTTAATAAAAATATCACTTATTGCCTCTACTGATCAAACAAGGGTGTATTCAAGATTAGATATAGTTAATGCTATATGTTTATTATAATACAAACCAAATGTTTCAATTTGTTCAGCTTGTGCTAGAGTACTATAGAGGATGGGGGTCAAATGGGCCCCCCATAATCTGCTGTATTTATGAGGAACACTGAAACGTATTGTGGTAATTACAATATTACAGCAAAAATGGTATGACGCATGTACTTTATCATTGGCCACCAGCGTGTCTCTATAAATGCAAAGTGCAACAGTCTGTAGCCCATTGTCTGTGTGTCATCTGAGCAGCCACATCCAACTGATGGAGGCTAACAGTGCACTCAGCTGTGGTCTTGCACTGTTGGCAGAGCTGTGGCTGGGAGCATGCGGTGGACAGTTCTCATAAGGCTCCAGACAGGCTGCATAGGCCATGACATGAGCCACGTAGTTCTGCTCTTTCACCCCATGGAATAGGTGAGCCATGGGGCCTTTGGCATAGATAGTCACGTCTTCACCACCATGAGTCTCTGAGTCCAGTGGAACAGCTGCCTGCTGCATGTACTCCTCATCATCTGAGGGAAAAGACAAAGAACAATGTACTCACAGTTTGTGGTCTGGACTGATCTGAAACATGTGTTTATATAGTCCTGAGATTATTTTCATAAACTTTTATAGTTGGATTGATTGGCTCCTGAGATTTTGTGATTCAGACTTTTTATTATGTAGTTATTAGCTTTTTACTCGGCAAACTGTGAGTCATATGGTATTCTAGAGCATTAGTATTTATTTAAAGCTGCAAAAGCGCTTGAATATCACTATATACCATAGCATATATAGTTCTTCACCCTCAGTGTGCGTGTCCTGTTGGAAGTAAGCCTGCATTTATAATTATGATATAGAATTGTTACTCAATATATGAAAGATGGAACAATGTATTTTTCAGCTCAGTATTTACCATGTGTTCTTTTTCGTTGCAATAGTGTTTTTTTGTGTGCCATTTCCATGTAATACAGTAATATTTGAGCTGTAGAGTAGTGTAAGTGACTTTTATGGCTAATTATTGTTTAATTCTTACATTTGTTTATTGCAGCTCAGGCTTGTTAATGATACTGTCTATTAAAAATTTTTGTGGGATTATCCTGCTTTGTGACAGTGGTATAAAGTATTTTCAGTATTATCTCAATATTTCTCTGTAGCAATATATGGTGTTTCAAAATGTGTTATTACAACAGGCCTAGTTGGAAGATCCTTTCCCACCTCCACCGCATTCACTTTGTGGAAGTAAGCATAACGTAATGCAAATTCTGACAGATGCCATAATGAAGAATTCTTTTTGGTTGTTCATAATGTCTGTTACTGAGCAGGAAAATTAACAGACTGAAACAGCAACCTGCAAAACATGGCCAACTACATATTTTGAAAATTACTACTTTTGTGCATGGGGGCTTTGAAGGATTTCTGCTAATGGTACAGTAAAGGAGTTAAATTGTTTTAAACATAGTGTGGCAGAGGCCGTGTGAAGTTTCCCTCTAATGTTAATGATAAATTGTGTGCACAGTCATCTAAAAACAGTATTTAGTGACGCGTCATAATTAACACTTATTGGAACAGTGAATCAGAGCGCTTTCCTTGGATTCGTTTCTCCAGGCTCAGCTATCGACTAATCAAGTCACAATCTGTTTGTTCCTGTTTTCTGGGGAGAATGTTTTCTGTAATTGAGCTTATGAATATAAATCCAACATTTTAGCGCAATATTTAAAAAATAAAATTAAAATTAAAATTTGACAGGTGAATATTTACCCATGTCATTTTCACATTTTGGAAAAGAAAACATGTTTGAAATATACTATATATTCTGTACACTGGCAGTTTATGTAATTCTGTCCAGGTCAAACCATTAACAGTGCATGGAAAGCTCCATCTCACCATAGTGTGCCCATGGATACTATAAGGTGTGAACAACAAATACCTGGCCAGAAATGGCATGTTTCCTTTGCGTGTTCCATTTTTTCCTTTTTATGTTGCTACTAGTTCCCGAAAAAGACCTAAACTCTGGGGTTTTAAAAGGCAATTTATCCCAGCACGGAAGGATTTCCACTTGTAAGCAAACCAGCTCATGCTATGACTAATCCGAATGGTGCAGAACAAGAGGAGGAGGAGGAAGTAGTCCATAGAAACATCAGGGAATTGTTTTAATATTTGTGGACTAAAGTGTTGTAAATGTCTCTCAATAGCGAGACAATAGCATAAGCCACAGTCTCTAAATGTACCTTTGCTCACACTACTCTCCACATCTGAAACACATTACTTTGTACTTACAGTAATCCACAAGTGTGATGTTTTCTCTGGTTCCGTTTATATGAAGGTAGCCCGGGCCATTGGCGTACAGGATACTGGTGAAAGGCATTTTGTCATCGGCTTTCTTTGGTGCCAGACCTGTGAAAGAACAGAATATATTTAAAGGTGCATTATCTAACGAATAATTGCTTCCCCTAGAATGTTCCACTGTATGGCATTACTCATCTATGTCCTTGGAGACCACCAGACCAGTTACAGGTCAGGCCTGAGCAAAAGCGAGCCTGCTGTCAGTAAGAATTCATGTTTTTCAATGTATTTTTAGCTCACAAAAAATACCATTTACTCAGCCGGCAGTTGAATAAGTGCAAGATGGACAAATGTAATAACAAACTGTGAAATATTTCATGCAAAGCAATAACACCCCCGTGGAGACAAGTAGGCGGACCCCACACCAGGAAAGATATATAGTGCTTCTTTAATTATTGAGTTTAAAGCAAACCTTTCCATTATAATTACCATACTACCTGTACTTATACTAACTACTTAATCTTACACACTTTGCTAGCAGGATCAATGAATAACAACTCAATAAAAACATGATCTGCAATCTACCCCAATGTACATTTTATTAGTAAACTTTGTAACCAATAAAGTCTCCCATATATTGTCTTTCCATTAACTTAAGCTGAAAACAAAGCATTTTCCACAGAATTTGTGCTTGTCAGACAGATGTTGGATTTGTCCTCTGATTTTGTTTGGTAAGATTCTATATTAGTGGTGATGTGCTGATTTTCTCTCTGTTTTGTGTGCAGGTGTGTGTAATATACTGTACTTAAACATACCAAAGATGGGGTTCCCTCGAGGAGTGTTGCCTCCAAATGTGAAGACATGAGAGTGGTCAGCCGTGACGACAGTGAGTGTCTCTGATTCTTTGGTCAGCTCTGCAGCCCTGTTTATGGCCTCATCAAAGACCACTGCTTCTGTTAGGGCCAGCTTAGCGATCCCGTCATGGTGCCCATGGTCAATTCTCCCTCGTATAGAAGAAAATGATAATTATAATCATAATCTTTTGTTGTTTAAAGGTGCACTATGTAACTTTTCAGTCTGGGAGTTCCACTACCCACTTGTCTCCATGGAGATTAATAAATGTAATGCCATACTGTAGAACATTCCAGGCAAAGCAGTAACATGCCCCATTCACCAGAAGCTTAAATAGTGCGTTTAATATATAGAAGAATGTAATGTTACTTATCTTCCACAAATAAAAAGTATCCTTTAGGGTTTTTGCTCAGGATTTGAATTGCTTTCTCAGTCATTTCCACAATGGAAGGGTCTCGGGTGCTGTTGCGGAAAACCTCAAATTTCATGTCTTTTGGCTCAAACAGACCTAAAAAGATAAACATTGACATTGATATTCTTTTTATGTAATACAATTACATAGCAACTGTTTTAGCACTTAGCAAAGAAACATTCACGCATCCCAGTTCAGTTTTAAAACTGACAAGAGTGAGCTAGTGACCATCAATTTGGTAGTAAAGTTATTTATTAAACTTTAGTTTAGTGGTAAAAAATTTTTCTGGATCTACAAATGTGTCACCACATGAACATATTTTTGGGCCACTGACTTTCAAATAATCTAAAAGTTTATTAATTAAAACAATGTACCTCAGAATGGTGCTATTATGTTGACATGACATAAGCAATATTTATTTACAAATATGCCATGTCCTGAGTGCTTAACAGGTGTAAAGCATCGAATCACTGTTTTAAAAAACAGTCCAGGGTTTGTAATCTAGATAAGATAAGATAAGACCTAAAATGGGGTAATAAATCTGCTACATAAACTGAGACTCACCCATAAGTCGATCTGTCGTCTTCACGTCGATTTCATCAAAGTCTTTTCTGTGCCAGACATAGCGTGATCTCTTGTTCTTTCGAGAATGTAAAACAATGATATAATATATTATAGGGTGATTGTTGGAATGAGGTGCACTTTGGACAGTGTAATAATAGTCTTACTGGTTTAGCATGTAGCCACACATCAATAAGGTTGTTCTTGTCTTTGCGGTCACCCTTGCGGGAGTTGGATGTGGGGTACTCGGGGTCTAGGGTGCCTTTAGGTGTCATGTACATCCTGCCCCCACCCAAAATCACCTGTATTGGAAAACACATTTTTCTTATTTACTGTTATTTGTTATTATTGTATTTACACACACCAAACTTCACATTCCCCATTGCCCCCAATGCACTTTGCAAGTGTTTTATGGTGC